TATTGCTGTTATGAAAGTGAAATAGGAATCGAAAAAGATGAATGTAAATCATTAAATAACACCAAACCAACAAAGTGGTGGTTGCAATCTCCTGAAAGTAGAAGTTCGAATGGATGTAGTAATCTTGGATCATGCTATCAAAATAGCATATATAAAACCAAGGACATGTGACTGGAGTATAATATAGCTAATGCCAAAGATGCAAGCTTCACTAGTTGTGGATATGAGAATGTTGATGTAGCAAATAGGCCTGAAACCCATGCAGAAGATGATGAATATAAGGTATTTATGAACTATCAAAAATCTGCTGTTGTGAATGATGCTAATGAAATGATCGAAGTTGAACATCGTTATCAAGGAGAACCAATAGTAGAGATGGAAGTATCGTTGGACCAAGTGATGAAAATGGATGCGATGATGATAAATCTATTAGAATTGTTGACAAAAGATGAAGATGACATTAAGAGTGTGAATGATGAGAATGAGGTGATTAAAGATGAAAAACTTTATTATATGCCCAAAGAGAATAGTGAGATTGAAGATGTTAATAAGACGTCCAATGAAGATAAATCAAAAGAAGATTTTAAAGCGAAAATGGGAGTAGAAAAGGATATAATGACGACTAGTAGTGATGGAGAAATAGATGATAAAAGAAGAGTAGTTAGTAGAATAAACATTGATGAAACTGGTCAAACCAATGTTGATCGAACGCACAAAATGAACTGTGAAATTGGAGAAAACAAGGGAATTGATGTTGAAACAGATTAATATAAAGCATTCATTCCTTGTCAAAAATCTGCAAATATGAATGATGCTGATAAAGCATCTAAAATTGGACATTGTTATCATCACGAAGTTGGAATTGAAAAGGATGAACATAAGACATTCATTGATTATCAAAAATTAGCTGATATGGGTAATGCTAACACTACGTGTAATCATGGTAGTTGTTATGAAAATGGAATTGATGACGAAATTGGTGTTGAAAAGGATAATAACAAGGCACCTGAACGGTATTTGAAATCAGTTAAAGGTGATAATGCCAATGGGGCAATTGATATTCAAAGATGTTATCGAAATGAAATAGGAAATGAAAGAGATAAATATATAGCATTTATTGACCACCAAAGATCCACTGAGGATGAACATAAAGAGTCTAAATGCTATTTAAAATGCATTATAACAATTCGAAGAGAGAAAATAATAGCATGACAATGAGTAAGTTGGTAAAAATAAATAGACAATCAGCAAAAGCAACGATTAGAACGAGTTTATGTTCAAATCTAATAAGCATGAAATATGCTAAAGAAAAAGAACTTACCTGGAAATGTATGAAGAAGCAAATCAGTGATGAAGTTGTTGGAAAAGTTTCTGGCATTGAAGTTGACATTAACGGTGTAAAAGTGGTTCAAGAATTTTGTGTAAAGCATGAATTAGCTTCTAATA